AACAGCTTTCCTGATCATGTTATTATTCTCCATAAACATGTTGAAATAAAATAATAAATAAACAAATCTATAATGTGACATTACTAATCTTGTTCTAGTTGTAAACATTAGACATACATATAAATATAATTTGTTTTTACGATTTTATCACCTAAATAAGGAAATAAAGGATGAATTTTGAATTTTAAAGTTTAAATGACGCCTGGCTGGAATGCTCCCCAGGGAGTGGAGAATGTGCATACACTGTGTGCGCGTAAGCCTGAATCCGATGACTGGGGTAATAATATGATCGCAGTGCCCTCAGGGAGAACAGTGTGAATACTGATGAGGCTACCCTGGGTAAACAAGATATATTATTATTATTAGTATTATCATTATCATCCAAACAAAAAGTACTTTAACATAACAATCAAATTAGAAAGGGTAAATGGGACCAGAAAATAGCATCAAATGCTTATCATTTCTAGCACCACTTATTTAAAGGTGTAGCTGCCTTTTCATTGGCATTTTGTTTAATTACCTTAGTTTGAGAAAGAGTAATGCAAAGTGAAGTGTTTGTATGATCAAACGATTTTTGTTCCAGAAATTGATAATAAATTATCAGTAATTGGTTGCATTTCCCCCAAGTCCTCTACAGGAAAAATTCCCTCGTGTAGCCATGCCTTGAACCACAATGCATGGCCTTACAGAGAAATTTTTTCCTGTTGGGGACCGGGGGAAAATGCAATGATTTTGTGATAATTTATTGATAACTGTAAGGCCCCAGGATCAAAACCGTGTCGATGTGCTTTATTAGTGCCCTTTTGTGAGGCATTAATCCTCATTTGCGACAGTTATAACTTAAGGTCATGGACGTAGGTCCCCTATTTGATAAACATATCTGAATACACATTATTTTGAATGTTATAATGCTGTAAGTTTTTATTGTATGTGAAATAAACTGAACTTGAATTTGAACTTAGCAGTCACTCAAAACAAACACTCGCAAATTATTATTCAATAACATCTCAGAATGTATATTATTATCTAGATCTATTTGGAATAACTCATTGTCCAAAATAATTCCATTAATTGGGGTTAAAAAAAATGATTCCACCTTTATGACCAACAGTGTACATATGGAATGGGAGACTGCAGACTTGCGCTTGATTGGAGGACTTGCGATTGATTTGCATTAAAGGTAATACACAGTTTTGGTATGGGGTCATGAATTGAGTTCAAATGAACATATTGGAAGCACATGCGATTTTATGATATACGATGATCGTTGTCGCGGTTGAAGTCGAGTTCAAAGTGATGAAATTGTAAATAATATACTCTTTATGTTGGATAGCGCCCTCTCAAGACTGATATTAATTTAGTCTTAAAATAATGTTTCTTGATTACAAACGACCAATTCGCTATTACCGTTTGGAAATTATATATGAGAACTGCATATTCTGAGAGTGTCATTGTCGTAGCTGCCATGGAATGGCCTTAGGTGCTATTTGAAATATTTGAAATTCACTGGGAGCACCGGTAAATTTTTGATTATTCAATATCTCGAAAGCAGAAGTGTTTTAGGGGCAAAAATGTCTAGTGCTTATAATACACCCACAGGGGCATCCAAATACACCAGCATTGTAAAGAATTTCTATCCATCCAATTTTTGAAAGATTTCCCAAAACTTGGCATTACCTCTTTAATAATCGCAACTCTTTGTAAGACAGGGCCCAGATCTGTTTTAAAATTAAAATCGTATTCTTATAACTAGAGAACTTATACATATTTCCTTTTATATTCAAAATCTGCTCTCATTTAAGATCATTTTTGTACAGTGCGTCCCAGAAAAAACGAAACCGAGAGCTATCGATGTTTTATCATAACTTAATCACAATTATAATTAATAAATGACACATATTTGGAAAGCTTAGATCCTCCTCTTTCATTTGATGTAAATCATAGGATGCATATTTCACGCATGAGTGATTAAAAGCAATTTGAAGAGAGGAAACCAAAAAGTCGTTTGGCGGGCGGTATCTGAATTTCAAGGAGAAAATCACATTTCTAGAAAGTTAAATTTCTGCCCTTTCAAATGACACCTCAATCAGGAAAAATGAGCCAGGAATAACAAAGTTCTGTTTGTTTAAAAAATTGCTTGCATTTCCATAATTTGATCAAATGAGTTTGCTGCCTGCCGTTGCAACAAACAGAGTTGACAAAAGACTTAACTCCGTTTCGTTGAAGATCAGCCATGCATCAGGTCGATCTTTCGTCTTCTTTGTGCATGGCTGATCGTCAACGAAACGGAGTTAAGTCTTATGTCAACTCTGTTCCATGCAACGGCAGGCAGCCAGTAAAAACGAACCCGTTTGATCATATTATGGAAATGCAAGCATTACTTTAAACAAACAGAATTTTGTTATTTCTGGCTCATTTTTCCTGATTGAGGTGTCATATGAAAGGGCAGAAATTGAACTTTCTAGAAATGCGATTTTCCTTTTAAATTCAGATACCGCCCGCCAAATGACTTTTTGGTTTCCTCTCTTCAAATTGCTTTTAATCACTCATGCGTGAAATGTGAAATGCATCACACGAAAGAAGAGGATCTAAGCTTTCCAAATATGTGTCATTTATTAATTATAATTGTGATTAAGTTATGATTAAACATCGATAGTTCTCGGTTTCTTTTTTTTTTCTGGGACGCACTGTATAGCCATATTCAAAACTTGGCAGTCGGACCGTCTTTAAAAAGTAGTATCGCCTCCTCTTCCTGTGATCCAGATCGTTTACTACTCGCTTCTCGCTTAAGATAATACTGACGCATAACAGTACTTAGTGTATGTGGGACTGATATATGAAGAAAAAACCCGCTCCGTCTCAACTACAGACTTCTATATGCATGTGCAAGGTTGACTGTAGAAGCCTGCCGTTATATGTATTAGCACATCGACTGCGTTATTCAATTCAAGGACAAGGGATAGGTCAGGTAAGCGTGTATATACCTATATTATATAATTACAACCGCACAAACTATACTGAGGTATATAGCACAGGTAGTTCTTTTGGTACCGAATATTCTGATCGCCACGCCTTAATATTCGCACAATTGTACATGATGCCGTGTGATGGACACGCGAGTATATGTGTATAATGTAATCTTAGAACGTAGAGTTGATACTGTAGTTTCGTTCAAACTGATATACAGCTAGCTATGGGAAAATGGTGAGCCTCGGTGCCCTCAGTACTACATACTCCTGAATAGTTATACAGATATATCACACAGTGTCTACGTTATGTCGACAACTATATGTTACAACAAGTATGCTCTGGTTATCCTTTTCGCTGTATATCGAAAACATTCCTGGCTGTCAACAAAAATAAATTTAAATAAAATCGCACAAATGGGGGGGGGGGGGGGGGGGGGGGGGAGGGGGGGGGGGGGGGGGGTAGCGAGCACATTTTTTTTTGGCTCTCGAAAATTTGAAAATTTGTACCCCCCCCCCCCCTTTGAGCGCCAAGGGGAGGGGGGCCATTCTAGATGGACAGTATTTTGATTAAGTTAGTAAGAAATTCCACAACCTAGGTCCTGAGTAAAATACAGATACAGACACAAATACTGTTGTCGATTGTGTAAATAATTGTTTAACTAGAGTAATTTATACCTTTAATACCAAACATAGATAATGTCCTTAAACGTATTCCCTGGTTCAAGCAATCGAAAGCTTTGGATACATCTAAAAATAAACTCATGTGATTTCCTTTTTAACAAAGGCCTAAGAAATATTGACATCCTGGATATCAATCACTGAGCAGAAGATTTTGAGCGTGAAGGTCCAACGCCATATTGATTACAAATGAAATATTATGCTTCTCAATAAATGCTACAATACGATTATACATATATCTCTCGATGAATTTAGAGAACAAAGGAAGAAAAAATATAGGGCGTTAATTTGAATATATAATTGGAGAACCACTTTTATGACTTGGAATAATCTATCATTTTGTCAGAAAAACGCCCAGTTTGAATTGAATCATTAATAATCTTGCAAGGAGAATCACAAAGTTTTGTATAGTATTTCTAACAACAACTGCAAATCTGGAATAGTTTACTTTTTGCTTTTCAAAATGCTAAATCTATCGATGTCTTTAAACGTGTGTACAAGGGCAATCTTTTTTAAACCTGTGCGATACAATGCTGATTCATATACTGCTCTTGACATGGCTCATGTCTCTCCCTCTCTCTCTCTCTCCTTCTCTCTCTCTTCCCATTTCCCTCTCCGTACTCCCTCTCTTTCTTTCTTTCTCTCTTTCTGTCTCTATTTTTTTTCTTTTTTTCCTTATATCTTTTTTCCCCTTCTAGTCTCTTTGGTGATATTTTAATGCCTTTTATTAAAGGGATTTGATGTTTTTCCGCTGTGAATTTCTATTATTACATTGTCGTTTTTTGTTTTTTGTTATTGCTTTTTACACTTCTAATGCGTATTATCGTTATATGTTAGTTTTATTCTGTTTTACCTTTGCCTTTGAGCTTTTATGATATCCATTAGCTATATTTCCGGGTACTACATTTTTATTCTGTTTAGGACCATGATGTAAAACAGATTTTGTATCTACAATGTATATCTGATATTTGTTATCCCGATTAAATATATTTTAATAAATTAATAAAAAAAGAAAAATTTATGAATATCGTCAAAACCACTATTCGTTCCATTTTTGATCCTGCTAAAAATATCAATGATTTCGCATTTATTTATAGGTTTACAAAAGAAGGAATAATAATTATATCTAATATTAGGATTTGTATTTAGTGCAATATTGCAAAATGTGTCATATAATCTAATCATTGTTGTTGTTGTTTCTGGTGCTGCTGTTGCTGTCTTGATATATTATCATGTCATAAACAAGTTGTCATTGAGAAAACCCTGTTGACGAAAGTTCTTGCATTTGGACCTTGTACGAATACTCATTTATTGTAAATTTTCATATTGACTATTTGAATAACTAAATACAGAATGAGCTCCGTGGTCATCAACGATTTTGACGACATCTTGAAGGTGATAGCCAAGGCCCTATTTACAAATTCAGACATCGATGATCTCGGAAAAGCCTTGGGATTTGAAGACGCAGATATTGGTCGCGCAAATGATGAAAACACCAGACAAGGAGGGAATTATATGGGGACATACGGTTTGCTCAAGAAGTGGCGAAGGAGACAAACATCTTTGACGGAAAAGGCGGCATTGAGGTCAGCACTAGTACATGCTGGATTTCATGACCTGGCAAGCAAATATCTAAGCACTCCCATAACCGGTAAGAGATTATTTGTGTACAGTGGTTTAATGACGCGTTTCATACAGAAAAATAAAGAGAATTCAAACTTTAATAAAAAAAAAATAATTTTGCACTGCTCAAAGGTTTCAAAGCAGATCATGGAAATGATAGTGGGGCGGCATGACGTCAGATGGTAACTTTTTGTGGTGGTTATATGGCGGGTTTTTGGCAGTGTTATCACTCGGCGGGTAATTAGGTGGCCTTGGTAGTGTCGGGGGAGCCTGAACTCGATTGACTTCACAATTTGGTGCAGTCAATCTTAAAGAGAAGGTTGAGTTCTGGGAAGAGGTGAAAAATAATTTGTGAGCGTTATCATTCTTATTATGCAAGTTTGGAAGAACATCAGATAAGACATGTTCCCGGTAAAGCATGGCTCTTCAATTGACTTCATATTCTAAATATGTCATGTAACATCGTAACAATCCTGATAGGGTTTTTACCCCATGTGTTCGTGTAGTCCCATATACATCTTTCTGTGTACAGTGTTTGTCACTTGGCCAAGACTTGGCCAAAATTTCTTATCATTTTGATGATTCCAGAACCTTGCAATACCCACAAATTCTTATATGCTAAATGATCAACCTTTTCAGGTCGATTCCACACCGTTTCTTTCACAATGCAATCGCATGACCAGAACTCAACTTCATCTTTAATTTGGTCATGCACATACTATAACTCCGAACTGGATTATTGTGCATCATCTTTAAGGTGTTCACCATACTTTCCAAATCATTAGCAGGAATTACAACAATGTAATAATTTACCCCGAAGAGACATACTTCAAGCATCACTCTTATTTCTATTCATTCTCCGACCAGGTAGGTTTCCTTCTTTAATACTACAAAGTCCTAAATCTTTGTGTTGATGATAGATGGGCGACAGTAGAATCTGGCTTATGGATAAAGAGTTTGCACATGCGAAAGAGCTTATGATTACTGAATTCTTTAATGAAGAGAACACTGTCATGGTTCAAGTTTCTGGTATTTAAAAAAAAAAGTATTAATCATAACTTTCCAGAATGCATATGGTAGGCAATTTCAATGATGCCGTAGGTCACAATTCGGGGACATCGGTATTGATGGAAATATATGGATATTAAAACATCCCCACACAACAAAGTGCAAACCCCTCCCCTCCCCATACCAAGTCACTCAGAGTTTTCAGATGATGAAAATAATGAGCTTTCCTTATGGGGAAATTGGTGGACGGAGAAGTGCATGAAGTTATAAATATCAGTCGAAAAGGTAATTCCTAGTAATGGATAAATAACGTTTATTTGGTTTATACATGAATGGTGTCAAATCCCCCATTAGTCCAGAATCTGCCCGGGCCGCGTCTTATTTTTTCGAGCCCAGATTCCAGTATGAACTCGTTTTTATACATAACAAGCTACGTAAGCTTGCAAAGAGGTCACAAACAATTAGACTTTGATTATTTATTGCTTTGCCTCACTATTTTATTAAGGCAAAAAACGGAATAAGTGAGATTTGAACCCTCAAGTCAACTTCAAAGTGCTGTTAGTAACACGCTGTCCTTACCAATTGAGCTAACGATGAGATAATGAAAAATTGATATGTATAATTACTATTACCCTATTAACTACCCTACCGGACTCCACGTACGCATGCGCTGGTTTCCTTTGCGAGTGCGCATGAGCAGGTTTACCTCGCGAGCTCAATCTGGCCTCGCCGTGGTACGAAAAAATAAGACGCGCCCGGGCCTTTATAATTCCCTACACACTTGATTCAAGCCGTCGCAGATGGCGTTATCAACAAACTCATAATTATGCTCACCAGCCCAGCCTGAGAAATTTAATGATCGCGCCATCATCGGCTTGTATCAAGTAAGTAGGGGGAAGTAGCGTTGGTGTGGTGGAGATCAAAATAAAATAGGCCAGATTCTGGACTAAGCCCCATGGGTACCCATGCTTATGTGTCTTTAACAGAACTGATTATGCCACAAACACCCTCAGACGAATCTGGGAAGCCCCCGAAGGTATTCCTGAGCTACCAATGGGACCACCAGCTGGAAGTGATAGCCATCAAGAAGCATCTCGAGATGGCAGGATTTCCTTGCTGGATGGACATAGGTCAGATGGGTGGAGGAGATAAGTTGTTTGCCAAGATCGACGATGGAATAAGGTCTTCCAAGGTGGTGCTCTGCATGGTGACTGAGAAATACTCAAACTCGGAAAACTGTAACAAAGAAGTAAGCTAAAACTTGGTCAAGGAGTTGTGTGTGTTATCATTGCCTGCGCGACTAACAGAAAATGACAACGTCCATGGATCACTTGAAATGTAAGGATATGATATCTTATTAAAGGTATAAGCCTCATATTCGAATACTTCGTGTTTAATTAAAGATATTTCATGTTTTGAACTAGTTTAGGCCCAAAGTAGGCTAAATATTATCCAGCCTTATTAAACGCGTAAAGCTATGGTCACAACTCAGAGCGGCGACCGACCGATTTGTAGCCTGCTCAGTCGCCGCTGGAATTTAGGCATCGCCCAACGATTTTTTTTGTGTGGATAAGTCCAACAGAGTGTAGAGCCCCAGCGTTGCCTGGGCGTTGTCGATTTCCCGTCGATCGCCGGTCGATTTTAGGTCAAAAGTGGGCGAAATCGTGGAGCTTCTCCGGGCGGCGACCCGGCAGTGACCGACTGATGGCCCACCGATTCCCGAGCGGTATACCGCAAGCAACGGCTGATTTTAAAGAATTTGCCCAGCAGCCGGCCAGCGTTGGGCGGAACACCAAAATACGTTTGACACAGAGAATTCACATGATCATGAATTTTCATTGAGACTTAAGCTATGGTCACAACCCCCAAAAGTAGCCTGCTCGGCGACTGGCACCGCTTGTTTTTTAGGGCATCGCTCGGTCGCCCCTGAAGTTTTAGCGCGAAGTTAAAATTCGACGGCGCATGCTCACTTTTCACTCGCCGCCTAAAATACGCTCGGTGCCCGGGCACCGACCTAAATGAGCGTCCGCCGTCGAGCAATATAGGTCAAAAATCGAAGCTGCGAGGTCAAAGGCTGCCGTCCGATTTTGAACTCGCCGCCCAGTCACCGACTGATCTCCCAACGACGACCGGACAGCAACTGGGCGGGGACCGCTCGGCAGCCTTTGACCTAGCGGCTTTGATTTTTGACCTAAATCGCTCAACTGCGTACGCTCGATTAGGTCTGTGCCCGGACACCGAGCGTATTTAAGGCGGCGAGTGAAAAGTGAGCAGGCGCCGTCGAATTTTAACTTCGCGCTAAAACTTCAGGGGCGACCGAGCGATGCCCTAAAAAAACAAGCGGTGCCAGTCGCCGAGCAGGCTACTTTTGGGGGTTGTGACCATAGCTTAAGTCTCAATGAAAATTCATGATCATGCGAATTCTCTGTGTCAAGTAAAAGATATTTTGTAATAGTGTAGACCTATATTCAGCTTATGTGGAGTGTGTAATTCAAGTGATCAACATAATTCATGCGGTACATAGCTTTGATTTATTTATACATCGCAGGCCAATTTCTTCCGGCCGAAAAGAAAATCTTACATAGCGACATTTGCTTCTATTTCTATTCACCTAAAATACAGGGTATATCTGTAACTTGGTTTCATGATGGGTTAAGGGTTAAGGGCATGGGCGTCAATCCTTACGTCATACCTATTGTTCAGGGGGGGGGGGGATGATATATTCATCCCCCCTGAACAATAGGTATTACGTAAGGATTTATGGCCATGGTTAAGGGTTAGGTAGAATGTTGGGTCCAGGGCTGAAGTTGGGAAGTGTTACAACGTATAATGACCGCAAAGCAATAGACCGGTTTACTAAGATATTCAAATGTATGGATGTTTCTTTCCCGGGGATGAGTGACGAAGTATTTCATAAATCTCTTATTAATGAATGAACAAGAGTATTTTGTATACAGTATGCATACATTATGCGTTTCTATGTCGGGCAATCCTATGAGAGCCTTCAGGTTGTCAAGAACAACCTTTGTTTAAAAAGTATGCATAACATTTGAATATGTTAGTAAACTATTGTCCCTAAAACAATTGTCGTTCAAGATTTGTCAGTGTTTTGAATTTTCCGCTTATCTTCATTTTCTTGCCTCTTCTTAAGGTGAATCTTGCAAATCTGCTGAAGAAACCAATCATTCCCGTCCTCATCGACAACACCCAGTGGCCCCCCAAGGGCGCCATGAGCATGCTCATTGGAGAGCTACTCTATATCCGGTTCTTTAACAAGAAAGAATACGTGAGAGGAGAAAAGTTCTGGGAGGATGCCAAGTTCTCAGAACTATTGGGTCAGATATCCTACCATGCTGAGAGCATGGTCACTGATGGTATGAGAAAAGATCATGGTTCATTCAAAAATTCCGATAACCAATTCCAATGGATTAATTAATATTAACATATGATGCAATTATCCCGGGTTATTTCCCCCTAAAAATCATTAATTTGTAGATATCGAGGATCCCGTCGCTCTTTTGCATTTTAACCCGCCGGATTAATTGTTTAATTCCCAAAGGGGTAAAAGAAGATTATATTAATACCCGCAACGTAACGAATATTTAGTTATTCAGTGCATCTGTAATTGTATTTCAGTAGTCAAAATGCGAATTTGCATACATTAATTGTTGCTAGGTAAGAAACACATATAGAAGGAGACCAGCCTGTTCGTGAGATAAGGTTAACTGTGTTGGTGAATTTGGCCACCAGTCAAAAGTGTGTTGACCTTTCAACGTTTTTGACCATATCGCCCTTATTTAAGGTCGGAGGTATAGCAAACTATACATTTTTTTAATACTCATGACCAGACGAGTAATTTGATATGCATATTGACACGATTGGAACTATTTGAATTTCTATCCCTGTGTGACCTTTGTTGACCCCTCACGAAAATGCCCAGGATTTTCAAGGGGGCAGCCTAAGTCAAAATTGTTCGGTATTCATCAGGGAACACAAAAACACTTTCAAACCTTTGTTCCCAGAGATTGGTCACGGACCTACAGGCTGGTCTCGTACTAATAGGCCCGAATTCACAAGTACAAACCTTGGTTTGAAACGCGTCGAAACGCGTCATATGACACACATACATCTAGGTTTGTCGACAAACCTCCTTTGTGAATTCGGGCCATAATGGCTTATCATGAAAAGCTGAAATTCAAACAGCAGTGCTGCCTATATTAATAATTACGGGGATTAAATACGTTTTTCTCATGGATGAATGAATGAATGAATGAACTAATATTATTACACTTTCCTTGATCAACTCTTAAAGTGAAAAGGAAAAATGCGTTTAGAATGTATTAGCAACCTAAGTAAATCCTGATTTCCGCTATTTTTCGAATTCAAAGAGCAACAACCGAGACCGACTCCGGCAGCTTCAATGGAGCAAGGTGCAAGCTCCTAGTATCAGGAGAGGTATGTAGAATTCCAAATCACAACCAACCTTTCATGACTGTTTCTAAAAATGTATAGGAGTAGTGTTCACGGCTCAATTTCAATCCACGATTTCCGTTAACTTAAACAAGATATCACATTTTTCCTACGACAGTTTCTTGATAGAAATGTCAGTGAATAACTGAGATACAAATCAACAAGTTAAAAGGCAGGGTGATTAACAAAATAATTTTAACATTGCACTGATTTGGAAATCCCGTTTTACGTTATTTTACAGGTCATTATAGAGAAATGAGAAAATTCAATTTAAACCTATTAATAGCAAAATTGCAACACAAATGTTCTTTATAATATAGGTGCGAATACTTCTTCAATATGTACTTTTTGTGAAATTCATAAACAGACGTGAGCACATTTATTCTTGACTTTAACCGGGAGTACCGGTAAATTTTGATATTCAATTTTTCTCGAAAGCAGAAGTGTTTTAGGGGCTAAATTTTCTCGTACTTATGATACATCCACAGGGGCATCCAAATATATCAACATTGTTAAGAATCGCTATCCACCCAATTTTCAAAATTTCCCCAAAAACTTGTTATTACCTTAACCCTCTTGATTATCGAACTTTTTATTAATTCGAGAACGATGATTAAAATTATGGTGATATCAGAACTTAAAATTGAAAAATTCTTGCTTTTTCAAAAGAAAGAAATATGACTTAAGTGTTAATGAATTATGTATACGATTTTGTGATTGAAAAAAAAGAGGAAATGTTGGTGATTAATCAAAGTGCAGACTTTATATAAGATAATAAATCTGCTCTACGAAGAAAAATATTGTACAGAATAATCGGCCATTATTCATTCAAGGTGATAAATTCAGGTATATTAATATATTTTATAGATCAAGCAAAAGAGAAGTAACGAAAAAGGAGATCGTCAAGTTATCCAAACTTCTACCCGATGGAAAATACAGCGAGCTGTGCGGAATTTTAGGATTCAAATTCAACTACATAAAAAAAATAAAGATGAAAAATTTCATGGACTCCACGGCTGCTTTCGAAGAACTATTGCATGAATGGAAAGACGGCGGTGGTTCAATGGAAAATCTCGATGACGCTTTAAAAGAAGCAGAACTTGGAGGACTTGTATCTGAATACAAAAATTAGTCATGACAAGGAGGGTGTATGGCACTTGCTCCTGCGACAAATCTACGTGTCACCTCTATACACTATAACCGAATTATAACGTTTCCTGATGACCGTAGCGTTTGACGATTTGTGTAATGTAGTATAGATAAAATGACTGCTATGAGAGGGATAGTTTTTTCTATAGGCTCAAGGGGACGTTACATCCTGATATCACCCCGAGGCGTTCCGAGGTGTGATAGCAGAATGTAACGTCCCCCAGAGCCTATAAAAACAAATATGCCGTGAATATTAAAGCAGTCTTTATATCTTTTATATACCGAATTGACACAAAAATCTAATAAGAATTTTTACTTGATCATTTTCTTGAGTAAAGATTGGTTTTAAAAAAAATACAGAAAATCTGAGACACTGACTATTAATCTTAGCTGGAAATATGACTGAATGTTACAATCATTTGGGGATCGCAAACAAAAATCTGTGTATGGTATCCGCGCTCGCACAAAGTCAAATTTCACACGTAAACCAATCAGCCAGTTCACGGTTGCAGTCTGAGCATGAGCAGATAAAGGTCATTGCAGAACAAATGTTGAAATACACGGAGACGAAATACTGGATACGTGCTCATGAAAGTTATGTAACATGATTAATTCATGCACATTCAGTGCACTCCATGGTACACAGGTGGAAGCATTCTTTGAAAAGGGGGAACAAAGGCTATTTATAAAGCACCGCCATCGCTGTAGGAGTGATTATTTCAAATTTTAAAAAGTGGGACCTCTTCATGTTCTGAAGATCTGTGGAAATTCGGGGTCATTGCAGTAAGGTGCTAACCGTGAACTGGTCTATTGGGATCTCATCAAAATCTAACTATTTTCCCGGTACCCGGAATCTTTTGGGAATCTCGCTCATGAACAATGAACCGTTATTGGCATTGTTCGTTTCTTTACGGGAATGGCTAAAATCACGACTCCAATTTCGACCAATCAGATGGCTAGATTTCTAAACAGAGGTAAATAATCAAATTTAATGCATTTTTTTGTTGTTAAGTGCCACATTACAAATTATTTCATTCACCTGTTAAAAATAATTGTTCATCAATAGCCAGAATGCTAGGTGCATAAATCAATCAGTAATAGGTAGGAGAGACATTATGGCCCAAATTCACGGAGGAGGTTTGTCGACAAACCTAGGTTTATGTGCGTTAAAACCTAAACATAAACCTAGGTTTGTCGACAAACCTCTTTTGTGAATTCGGGCCAAAGGAATGTCATACCTAACAACACGGAGTGTACGCAATTCGCATTATGACTATTGAAACAAATTATTTGTAACAGATGAAAGGAATAATTTATAAAGTGGCACTAAACAAAGAGTTGTACGTTAAACATGACTAAATTACGTAAATGCCCCATTGTCGAGGAGCATGTGTTGAATAATCGGCTAGGATTCAAGCTTAAATCACCATTTTCGCCTCATGCAATCACATTAGCAATTACTTTCTTTCAGTAATATGTTTCCTTTGTGTAAATATTGTTCCAGTTGAGTTAACCAAGATACACAATTCAAAACCGTTTTTGTTTTCAATCGGCAAGCCTTTTTGATTTTTACGGATGAACCATTTTCTATTTGATCCATGTTTTCTACTCGTATTATTTCCTTATAGTTTTTTTTTATCTCTTATAATTTCAATTACAAAAAGTATTTCAATATTGGGAATATTTATGATAATTATCTGAAGAAAATATGTAAAATTTACATGCAATGTAATGATTAATGTAGATAAATGTTAAAATAAAAAAAATAATGAAAAACTATATGTAGCTAAATTTCACTTAAATACATAATCAAAAATTGGTATAATGCAGTCATTCGATTTATGGCAGTGATTGAGTGATTGATTATCTTAGTGTCATCACCTGAATGGGGGTGCAAAAGGAACATAAAGATAAACAAAGAAAATAACAAGTAAATAAAGGTGAAATTCATTAGCAAATGTGCTACACTGCAGTATTCTTTGGAATAAAGTAAGGCAATTCAGCAAGAAAGATTATTAGTCCTTTAAGTCATTATAGGGGAATGGAATTTAAATACGTGTGCAGGACTGAATGATATAAGCATGAGTGGTCTTCTACCTCCTCTTGCTCTCTCTTTCATTCTTCCACTCTCTTCCTCTACCCCTCCTTTCTCCATTCAGACTTCTTGATTCAAGTTCTTGATTTATTTCTCGTCATTCCTCTCTACCTCTCCCACACTATCACTCTTTTGGTACTTCTCCTCTCCTTTTCCCATTTTCTTCTTACTTCTGGATACAGAAGAATAAATTGAAAAATAAAATGTAATGTTGGAGGATGTTATTCTGCGTATTTTCACAAATTTGTATTATTGATGTAGTATATAAATTGTTTCGATATAAGGATTAATACAAAAAAGTATGAATAATTTAGTTGTTAACTATCTCTATCTATATGAACTCATATCCTGCCATAACGATGCATGCAGGCTACTGTTAAAGTGCTTTGTAGATGCGAGCGAGCCATTGCCTCGCTGCCTCGTGCATGCTTGCACGCATTGGCATGATAAGAGTTAATGACGTATTATTACGTCATACCTTTTTCCTACGCGCTTCTTCTTACTTTCTGCCTTCTTATTATTCGTGTCCTATTTCTCTTTGCGCATTGGCTTATTTTATTTGGATAGGATGCAGAAATTTTAATGAATAACAGTTTTTCAAATTTAAATAAAATTATTACCTGACAAAGCCCTTAGGGCAAAAACTTTTAAAATATTTGTCTTTTCATGGAGGATCATTATTTATTGTGTTTTTGCGTATTTACTCGAACTCTGTGCAGAACTTAATACTTTATTTTAAATATATACATATATGACAAGGGGGAACTAAGAAATGTTTGGATAAGTGGTGTAAAATGTGCCAATATATGCCCTCCACTTATACAATAATTCATAACAGTAGTGGAAATTTTAAAAATATTGAAATTAAAAGATACATTCTTATGCACATCTAGAAATGTGCTTTATTGTCTAAATTGGTTTGACTGTGAAAATCAATATATCGGGGAGACAAAAGATATTTGTAAGGAATAAATAACGACACATCGTCAACACATAAGAGATAAACAATATCGAACACTAAATGTGAGTAAACATATATCAAATATTAATGATAATACACATCATTTATTAAGCGCTTAAAGCTACTATGTCCCATTTGCAGGCCAAAACAATAAACAAGTTAAATTCCACCAGCATTTGAAAGATAATACAAATTTAGAACTTCCTTCAAAAATTAACGAGCGTTCGCTTTCAGAAACCTTCGCTGAACAAGGGTATCATCTTCTACACCACTTACATTTTTAATCGCATGTAGGAAACTAGACGAAAAGTGACACTAAAGTGTAAATAGCAGGCAAAATAATTGTACTTGCGGAAACTGCAAACTGCGGGTACTTCAGGAAACAATTTAATTCAATTCATATTTTATAGATTAAACTCCACACAAATAGGATCATTCTCATTTTTTTGTTTACATTACTTTCCTCAATGGTAGTGTATAGGTAATTGAGAGCAAAAGTAAAGATTACAATAACCAGGAATGACAAAAATCAACGGATTACTGCATGTCTCTTTTATAATATAAACACAGGGAATTACTTGTAATACTTTTTACAACTTTTTTTTCTCAAGGATAAATAAATAAACATTTAGCACGACTAGGATCAGATAATTATATTCAACAAGATGTCCAAATATACTCATTCTCGTGCATCGAGGTGAGCGACTATAATGGTTATTGTCTTCATGTATTTGACAATGATGTGCCTACATACATAATCGTAAATCTTATCTACACGTGTGATTTGAATGTAAAATATGCAAAATTTAGAAATAAACATGTCCATTCTTGTGTACATGTCAGTTGACCAGTGCAAGGTGATGAAAGATAATCTTTTATGGTGGATTTGTGATGGGGGTGACGCGAAACGGTTTGTTTCTCAAAAGGGGACCGTGAAAAAAAAACCGAGGCTGATTTCACTATGAACATGACGGACAAAGAAAGAGGACAAAATGTACAGTTCCTCAGGTAGATAAAGGAACATCCCTTCACTGCTATTATGTAAAAATGTAGAACAGGTGTCACATGCATATTCATCTGTTTTACATGATAGCAGTAAAGGGATGTTCCTTTGTCTACATGAGGAACTGTATATTTTGTCCTCTTTCTTTGTCCGTCATATTCATAGTGTTTAGACCTTTAGAAAACGCTGAAAGAATCCAATAAGCCCTTCAAAACAATATGACCATGTATATCGCACGAGTCCGAACAAGGGATAATTGTCCAATGTTGAAGAAAAAGCAAGGGTTGATCTTCAACGTCCTTGTCCCAGCATAGCGGCACAAAACAGGAAAAAACACACAAGGCATATCATTTATAAAGAAAATGAATGCAAGAACCCCCTCCCCTTGTATCTTAGTGAAGGGGTAGTTGTCCCTGGTTTAATTGCCCTGTACGCAGTTCCTCTGATGTAGTCCTCTAACAGTTGGAATAGATAGTTCCCTGTTGGCGGACAACTGATTTCTGGATTCCATCTGGAATTACCTTCTGCCCAAGCTTAAGAACCTTAAGATTAGGCTTACGACTAGGATGGATCGTCTCGACGAGTTCATACCCGTCATCTTCTGGCTGATCACCCACCTTCGATGGCAGCAGTGCCGTATATCCGCCTACGTCAACCTGTGGTTTGTTTGTTTGCTCTGGTAGAGGACACACCTTTTCTTTGCTTCGTTGTACAGCGGTGCTCTTGGTTGAGGAGATGGTATTTACGTAAGTTGGGTTGGAAGATGGTGCTTGGGGGAAACCTGACCCTTTCGACTCCACGTCCGTAGCCTTCTGTGCCACCAAGTCAGGTTTTCGAAGACGCCGGTACACCAAGAAGCCAATTAAGATGAAAACCAAATATGATATGACCAGGATCATTCCAAGTGCCAGTGCTGCAGAGTTAACATACCGACCGCTTTGCGGTGACAATGAGCTTTGGTATATCAGAGGCAACGTCGTGGCAAGGGTATTAGAAGATGTCACACATAAGCTTTGTGTAGGCGTTACACGTCTGCTAGGCTTTGGTTTTGGTGTTGAAGGTCTACTGGGTGTCGGTGTCCTTGCTGTGGTTCCCGATGTGCCTGTAAAAATGTAATCGGGGCTCCATGTTAACAAAATATGTTAGATTAATTACAAATAATTGTTAATTGATATCAAATCATCTCCAGCCTCTTTAGTACAAAGTTGCAATTGACTTAAATTGTAAAGCACTTGCAATCACTTGCAACTCTATTATGAAACAGGGCCCAGGTATCAACATTCAAACTGCACTTTCAATTCAATAGATAGCTGAAAACAAGGTAGCCAATTATATTACAATTATCTAATTTTAGTAGATTTTACTGAAGTAAAATTTTCATCACTACTTAAAAAGATCAACATTCACAAATAGGAATACGTTTACTTGATAATGACTTCGCTTATGTTATCAAGAAAAAGGAGATGTCATGTCGTACTGTAATTACTGAGAATCTTTACATTACGTTAAGAATAATTATGTATCTATCAAACAGTTTTGTGGCAGATAAATCGAGAATACAAAATATTTCTCAGATTAACTGAAGTTATTTCTTGGGTGGGGTTTCCTTTAAATAGAAAGTTGAGTTCTGGGAAGAGGTGAAAAATAATTTGTGAGCGTAATCATTCTTATTTCGCAAGTGTGGAAGAACATCAGATAAGACATGTTCTCTGAAAAGCATGGCTCTTCCAATGCCTTCATATTCTAAATATGTCATGTAACATCGTAAAACTCGGGGGTAGGATTTTTACGCCACGTGTTCGTGTAGTCCCATATACATCTTTCTGTGTAGAGTGTTTGTAACTTTACCAAGACCGGGCTAAATTTCTTATCATTTTGATGATTCCAGACCCTTGCAATATACACAAATTCTTATATGCTAGATGATCAACCATTTCTGGTCGATTCCACACCGTTTCTTTCACAATGCAATCGCATGACCAGAACTCAACTTCATCTTTAACATTCCAATTCCAATTTCAATGTAATATAAACAGGTACAAAATCGATACAAAGTTGTGTGTTAATGATTGTCACTATGCGTATGCAGCTTGAGCAGCGAAAAGGAGGAGTTTTAGATGATCTCTTAAAATGGTTAAAATAATAGCTGCAAAATATGTACCTGTTTCGAAGACTGTTCTTGGAGACGTCTTTACGTAGTTCAAAGTTCGTGTACTTTTGGTTGGTTTTGAGGGAAACCTGATTGTCGATTGTCTAGGATGCGTGCCTGGATATGGCGAGGACAACGGTGTAAAAGGTGTACTTGCCATACCATCATCTAAATAAAACATATGTAAAACAAAATAAAAACAAACATACCATCAACAAAAACAACATCAACTACAAACTGTATACAGATCAAATCAGATCATCACTCACTACATGTCGGGCACCCAACCAAAGGCAAGAATCAACCACGTATCACGCTATGTATGCGACTTGTCACATTTCAATACTCCATATCACCGAAATGAAATGAATGAATTATCTGCTGTAAGAGGTTAGAGAGACTGTCGATGATTGTATGTGGTGTGGGCGAATATATGCCAACCAGTCAGCCCGTATTCGTGCGATAGTGGTACAAGCATTTAATAGCGTACACGGCTAAAGTAAGACCCGGGTTCGATTCCCCGCAGAGACAGTTTGTGCAAACGTTGCAATCATTTCCACGAAAAAGCAGTAAGGGCAGTCAATTAATTTTAGGATACGCACAAAATTTCTCTCTTTTGATTCTTAAATTAGCTAACTCTCACCTTATTTAAGTATAAACATTCGAAAAAGATATGGAGGGTGTTTCACAGAGATCCTAAGTAGAACTTAAAGTAGATATTCATTGATTTTAAAAACTAACTTAATTTCATTATTGCAAAGTTAAAACTTTGATTCAACAAGGTTATCAAAATTCAATGCTTGGAAACATTCGAAGAAATAATTATTTAACACTTATGATAAAACGCTTAAATACAGCCCCGGCATAGCACCTGAAGAGCTCTCCGAATGCTGCTGAGATGTGTGAGATCACAGTATGGACACGATTTGCACAAGCAGACGATGTCCCATGACATTTCACACATTTTCAGTGCCTGTGTTTTCATCTTCTCTTGAGTTCTTACTCTTACTTCACTACCATCAGGCTAAGTGTACAATCTATTGCCCCACTCTAAACCCCGCACATGTTTTTTATTTTGATGACAAATGCAACGATACAAAAATAAAGGAATCTGTCGCTTGTAAACAAAATAAGACGTCATTGAATCTTCAGCTGCACACACCGCGGTATGTTCGGCGTTTCAAGAGGGAACAGATGCCATCCTTAATTTCATTCCGGGGGGTTTTCAATTCGAAAGTCTGGTTTCTTTGATTGTTAATTAACCCCTATCCTGTGTATTTAAAAGCAAAAGATTTTAGTTATCGGAATCGGGTCATATCCCCTTTTGAATGGTTTGACATGCCATCACATTTATATACACTAAACTCATTATAATTTGACAAATAAAAGCTTTGCAATTATGTTCATTCTTTATGGGATGTCGTCTGCTTGGACAGTATTGGTCCATATAGTGACGTCATTAAAACATCGTTATTTTCCCGGCGAATCTCTTGTATATCCCAGCTGCTATGCAGGTGTTTGTATTTGTATTTTTATAAATCACCCGATTTGTAGTTGACCTAAAACTTGTACGATGGCCATCTGCTAGCTTACTAGTTTCTAGTCATACATTAGTTGACATATTTGTGATTTTCTTTGAATTTCACCTTTAACTCTAAGTTGGACTTAAAAGTTACGGAGAGCCATTTGTAGCCTTAAACAAAAATTATATTCAAAAGCAAAAAATCAAGTATTTTAGACTTTCTATAAATTCCACATGAAGAACATGAAATCTCCTTGATAATAGGAAATATGAATTATTTGAATCAACATTTTATGCCTTTTAAAATAACTTTTACAACATATTTTCTAATATGCTAACGGCTTTCCATAATTGTTACGTCAAACTTAGAAATAAGTTAAACTTAGGATCTTTTTGAAACACCCTCCTGGTTTTGTAGTGAAACAAATAATTTAAGATACACACGAATGCTTAAGCGCTTGTTTTTATCCTAACCTGTATCGGCACTTGCCCCGCTCATGTTGGTAGACACCACAAGTAGGAGAAGAATAACTACTCCAAACAGCTTCATTCTCACCAACACGATGTACACGATGAAGACAAAAATGGCTTAAAGTCCTGCTTCTGGCTTAGAACGTCTCAGCTGATTGGGAAAGAGAGAGAGATCGGGGAAAGCAATTAAGGAAGAATTAAGAATGTAAGGGAGAGAGACACGTAGCCTACAAAGAAAGAGTGTGTGTGTGTGTGGGTGTGTGTGAGAGAGACAGAGAGAGATATATATATAGAGAGAGGGTGTGTAACACTTTAAAAAATAGCGGGTGGAACGTGTGTGTGTGTGTGTGTGTGTTAGAGACAAAGTGGTAACCAGAGAAGAATTTATACTTTTATGTATTAGGAACTGAGTCATATAAACACGAAACCGAAACTTATACCACACTCTTTTTAATAATCTAATTCATATAATTGTGAATTATCGGAAATGTTTATTACGATGTTTTTTAAGTGTAATAATAACAAACAGAAAAGTAAGTGTATTGATGAAAGTCCAGCCCAATGTAGTCTTAACTATTTTAAATATTTCCAAAATAGATGCTTTCATGTATTAGAAACTGGGCTATATAAACACAAAACTGAAACTCATAATTACACAATTTAATAATCGAATTTGTCTAATAAATCATGAAATATCACGTGGACGTAAATTATTATGATGATGTTTATTGAGTGTAAAAATAACACATTTCGTAATTGTCTGCCCAGTCTCTTGGTATCAGTTCAGATGATTTGTAAAATGCGGTTTTTGTGTAGGTTTAGCCTAATAAAGTTTAAACTTTTTTGAATATTTCGAAATTAGATGCTTTCATGTTTTAGAAACTTGGCTGTATAAACACCAAACTGTATACACACAACAAATTGATTAATCGTGAAATATCATGTGGACGTAAAGTATTATTATGATGTTTCTTAAGTGTAAAAATACAAAAAAAGTAATTGTCTGTCCACTATCTGGTAGTAGGTATAACAAGTCTTTATTAGAGAACATGTTCACACAAAAACCAGGCCCGCAACCAGTAGGTTAGGCGGCAGGTTATAATGAACAATATATACAATAGCAAAGTACATTAACAATAACAATACAAGTTACAGTGTAATAATATATGTGATAACAAGGAGCACCGGGATAGAGAGAAAAGGAAAAGGAAGAGGTAAAAAGGAGAAAAGGAGAGGAAAACAGAAGTGGTATAGTACAGAACAGGGCAAAAGAAGAAGATTGTAACATTATGATGAGAAAGGAAAGACCCCCATACGTGATACATAAATGAATAGTGTATAATTGAATCGAGATAAATTTCGTATTACGGTAAGTATTGTCATTTTGGTACAGAATGGCTACAAGTTCGTTGATAAACAGGAAATGATGAAAAAATAATGTATAATTATAGATTGATAAATTAAAGGTATTGATGAAATTGCCATGCTGGCTCACGTCTTCCTTGGAATATTACATAAGAACTAAAAAGAACGGCTTTCAACATTTCGTCCCTGGATTCCGGGTACCTAGTTGAGTTAGTGATTTTGAGGATTTCCTTTAGGCGGTATTTATTTTGTGGGGTCATGAGTCCACGTGAACCGATTTTAATACAGATTAGTTTGCTCTTCCACCCTGTTGATGTTATGTCATGTGTGAGGCTTGCGTATTTGTCTTGGTTTCGTTGATGTGCTTTGCCAATGTTTGTTTCGAAGGGGACTGTGAGTTTGATGATGATAATAGCAAGTTTTCGCTCAGCAACATACACACCTTCGCGGACGCAGAGCACTCAGGTAAGGTTTACGGCCGTCGCATACAGACCGCCCTCGATACAATACGTGGTTTCGCTTTTCGGTGAATGCGTACGTATCTCTACGGAGGTATTGCGTTTGCAATGCCATTAGGCAATTTTCGTAATGTAACCAAATTTATGCATACGTCTTTGTGATGTGCCTCGATACCAAATATTTCATTCACCTGATAAGGATAATAGTATTTCAATAGACAAAATCCAAACTGCATACATTAGTTGTTGCCAGTTCGACAAACATAAGGGGTATTTCGCAAGCTCATTGCGGACAGAGAATCTGCGGTTCGTGTGCAAAATCGAGAAGCTACTATAGTAACAGCAGGGTGATCGCTGAGGTACTGAAATCCAGAACGGGTTTTGGCCAAATCTACGGGCGTTCTCAATGACGCCCCAAGTGAATCAAGTGCCTCGATACAAACTATTTCATTCACCTGATAATAATAATAGTTCTAGATTTCAGGGCCTCAGCGGTCATTCAACTGTTACTATAGTAACTTCTCGATTTTGCACACGAACCGCAGGTTCTAATTCCGCAATGAGTTTGCGAAAATTGCCAAATGTCCTTATTTTTGTTGTCAATGTGGCAGATGTCTGGTTTGTGTCGGGTACAAATTATTTTTAGTGGTATGGTGCCCCTATTGATGCTTTCTCCTTCTACGTCTGCATATACTTTGGTGGAATTGTTTGAAGTGTTTTTAATGTGTTTGAGCATGATGCGTAGTATGTTGTTGTGGCGCCAGGTATATCGGTCGAGCATTCTTTCACAATTATTAAGAACAGGATGCAGAGTGCCAGTACAATTACAAAGGTTACATTTATCAGAGATTCTTTTTCCCCACCGGTACTGGTTTTTGTTAGTAGGAGGACTATCTATTGCTGCATTAACAGTGAACTTCATTACACTCTGAGGTAAGTTATAAATAATCGACTTCCAGGTTACATCAGTATTTTTCATATGAACAACTTTCATGAATTCTCCCTGTACAAGTAAAGGTTCGATCACTCTTTTCCAATTTTCTCTACATACATCTTGAACTTATTTTTTAATCACAGTTTTTGTCTGGTTCCAGCTTACAGAGTCTGGTATTTTTGAGTGAATTTCATGTGCTTCCAAAGAGAACGACATTTGTCGTGACCATCCCCTTTCCCTCTTTAGTCTTCGGTCAAGGGTGTGATTTACAACATCGTCGCCTCTGACCTTAGATCTACTGTAAGTAAGTAAGTGGACGCTACGCGGAAACCCCCGCTAAGAATAGCGTTGTAGAAGGCCGCGTCGCCGGTTGCGAAAACTCCCTAATGCAAATGAGATCGCGACGGCAGCCAGTACGGAGACGGTCACAGCTCATTTAAATACCCCGTAGTCAGCACTTGCGTCGGCGTGCGAAAAATCCCTAATGACTTTTAAGTACACGATGCGCAGCAGTGCACATGAACGCGTGAAGTAAGCCTACTACTCATATTTGTTTACATTAAATCACGAGGATCTAGGATATCTAGGAGTTCTAGGATTTTCATTGTATAAATGAGTTTATCATAAGAACTATGTCCTATTTGCAATTCCAAAATATTGAAAAGCTTAAATTCCAACGGCATTTCAAAGACAATACTTATTTAGAACTTCCCTACAGAATAAAGGGTTTGAAAATGGCTTTATGTGTGAAAATAATGACCATTAGTTGGCGAATCGACATAAGTGATTGCAATCACTTGAGTAATAGTCTGATTTCCAGACCCTTTTACCGAATGGTCGTATGTTTTGTGCTGTACAAAGATTCAATCAGTTTATTTTTGGCCATTACAAGTAGTGGGTTATCGATGCATGTAGAGAAATGCTCATGAATCTGTTACAGCTCATCTTATGTATGTTATTACCAAAGAAAAAAAGATATCAGTCAGTCTCTCAATAGTGGCTGACAGTGTCAGAAGTCTAGAAGGTAAACAGATTTCCTTGGATAATTTGAAAACTGGAACACTGTTAATGTTAACATTTCACATATAGGACATACATGACATATTCATAATTCCTGCAAAGTAATAAAGAATTTGATTTTGGCTGCATAAGGGAAATAGTATCTTTGATAACTAAAAATGCATTGAAGGTAGCAAAATGGTTTATATTATTAAGTGGTCCTGTTTGGACAACCGGCGTCAAACAAAACAGAAATATATATATTTTTTTATCATAAGTCACTTTCAGCTATCATCACAAGCATGTTTAAGGATCGCATGTGAAAAGGTGACTCTTTACGTGCACTTCTACATTATAAAAACCTTGCCCCTTTCACATTATAATCTGGATGTCAAGCTAGCCTATTCTGCGCAATAGCTCAGCTCAGCTTAAAGGTACTATGTCCCATTTGCAGGCGAAAAAAATGAAAAAGTTAAATTCCAACTGCATTTGAAAGATAATACTAATTTAGAACTTCCCTAAAAAGGTGGGGCTTAAAAATGTCTTCAAGTGGGAAAATAACGACTATTAGTTGTCAAATCGACTTTAGGGCTATAGAGCCCAAAAGTAATAGTCTTGATTTTCAGACAATTGCACCGAATGGTCATAAGTTTTATGCTGCGCAAAGATTCAATCAGTTTAATCTTGGCCATCACAAGAAGTGGGTTATTGATGTAGACAAATGCTCATGTACCCTTTACAACTCTTTTCATTTATGTTATTACCAAAGAAGAAAGTCAGTCAGTCAGTCACTCAATAGTGTATGACAGTGAAGTCTAGCAAGTAAACGGATTTCCTTGCATAATTTGAATATGAGGACACTGCTAACGTTTAAATTTCACAGATAGGACATACATGACATATTCATAATTCCTGCAAAGTTCTACAGCATTTGAGGTTGGCTGCAAAAGGGACATAGTACCTTTAATACATATTGATGTAAACGGTTCTAGAGAATTTGAAATACCCCCAAAAAAGAAATCGGCATAATACACAAACACTCTGTTTAATACACACATGGTTTGGCCGAACAAGCTTGGTCTCCTGCTTGTCACCATATTTAGCAAAGAGTGGGAGGGGCTTAAGAGGTATAAATACCGAAGCAAACCCACTCCTTGGACAGTCGAAATCATCTTCTCATCAAAGTGATTGCAGAAAGTCTCTTTTCAAACATTTACTTTCGAAGTAAATGTTAAAACAATTTCTCGACTACTTTCAACACACTTTTCAAGATGCATTCGTTCTTTGTCATCACTCTAGTTCTGTTTTCATGTCTGTGTCTTGTTGGAGTCACCCAAGCGGCTGTTGTTTCAAAGGAAGGTACGCACGATGAAGGTAAGGTTTTCTTGGCAAATCGCAATTAAGCCAGGGATAGAATATGCAAGTATAGTACATTTTAAAATAATGTATATGATAGGATTGAGAAAGATAGGAGGTGGATAGGTGCAAACAGTTTGATGCATAACAATAACATTTTCAAAGTCAAACTAAATCATTACTTGACATAGCCCTTTTGGCAAAAAATTGTTAAACATTATTTTCGTATACGGAGCCTCATTATCTTTTCTTTTAATGTAAACATTTTCGAACACCGAACAGATATTTAGACTTTCTAATTGATATATTCTAGTTAGCTGATATGTATTATTTATATAGTTGATATATTGAGATACTCTGTCTCTTCGTTAATGTGAACTTACGTAATTGATTCTAATTGGCGTTGATACTTTTTCTTCCTCGTTAACCTTTTATAAGGACTACGGTTGAAAAAAGAGCTAAAACATGTATGATATTGAGGGTGAAGGTTACAACTTTGTACTAAAGATATATCCAAGTTAAACAATTTTTGTATAATGTTTTAAAAACCCACTTTCTTCCTAAATTTGTAATAAAATAAGTTAATACGCCAAAAATTTTGCTCATAATTTCTCTCTCTCTCTCTCTTTCTTTCCCTCATTTTCTGCTTCTATCTCCTACTTTCTCTATGCACCCATCCCTCTTCCTCTCTTACCCGACCTCCTCTATCTTTCTCTCTCTTATTCCTTTCCTCTACCTTTCATTTCGTCTCTTAATTACCCCTACTCCCCCTCTCTGCCTCTATCTGAGTGTGATTCCCTCCCCTCTCTGTCTCAACGTGTCCACCTCTCTCTCTCTCCTTCCTCTCTATCTCTCTCTCTCTCTCTTCTCGCATGTAGCTTTTGACCCTGAAAATACTCTAGATTCAGGCAAACTGACCCAGACAGAAGAGGACAAAATCTCTGATATTAGAAAACAAGTAATGTTCCTTCAGGTAAGTAACTAAAAGTACATTTTCTTGCATTTCATTTAAGTAATGCATGGAACCCATGCTTACAATCTGGAAAAAAAACTTACAAATAAAGATTTTTGTTAACATTTTGTTGACCGAATATGTTTTATCTGCATGAGAGAGATCTTTCAAGTGATATTCTTTTCATTTTGCGTTTGATTTGATAACTGTGTTTCATTTACACGTGGAAGTTGGATATTGCACACAGTGATGAAACATAAAAGTGAGATTTACGTAGAATATGGGGTAAGTATAAATAATCATACTTTAAAGTTTTTTAAACACCATAAAGCTTTCCGTTGAAATACTCTTTTGATTTAGAATATAATATTTTAAAAAAGAAAAAAGAAAATGCAATAAATTTTCAATGATTTATTGCATTTTACCCCGGTTCCCAACATAAAAAAAAAATCCTCTTTGTGCCCATGCCTTGAATCATAATGCATGGCCGTCCAGAGGATTTTTTTTTTTATGTAGGGGACCGGAGTAAAATGCAATAAATTATTGAAAATTTATTGCATTCTTTTTTTTTTAATTTATGGAAACTGCCCCCTACCTAGCCCCCGCTGCGTACAGTCATGGTTCAGTGACAAAGCAATGGCCTCGTAACTATGAGGCCCCAGGATCAAAACCGTGTCGATGTGCTATATTATTGCCCTTTTCTGGGGCATTAATCGTCATTACTGTCATTTATGACTTAAGGGCGTGGGTCCCCTAGTTGATAAGCATAGTAGCATACACATGCTTTAGCAGTCACGCAAAAACACACATTGGCAAATTATTATTCAATAAATTCTGGAATGTATACTATTATCTAGATCTATTATTTTCAAATTATTTTTAAAATAATTCCATGAATTGGGGTAAAACAAAAATATTCCAGCTATATGAGCGACAGTGTATTAGCAATATTACCCATGGCCCAGTTGTTGAAAGGCCCCATCCCCTTAGACACAATATTTTATTAAGTACTTCTGTTTGTTAGGATCCTTGGCTACTAAAGAGTGTGCTTGCTTGCCTTATAATGTTGGTGGTCGGTATGACAAAGTAGTTTTACAGGATTCTGTGTGAATGTAGCGTATTAAAGATCTAGGCTGATGATTAAAGATATTAAATGAAATTCTACGATGCATCGCACACAAATTAAAACTTTTGAATGTCCTAGATCTTTGTAATTATAGTCTTGCAATATTTATGTATTTATATTACAACAATTTTATACCAATTAGTCTTTCCAGCAAATTTTGTCCTAATTCTGCATTACATTCATATAATATTCGAAGTTCTTATAATTTTCATTTAAATAAAATAAGACTAAATATAACTAAACAATCCATATTTTTCAAAAGGCTAAATTGTGGAATAATATAGCTCATGATATAAAATCTAGTCTATCAATAAACTTTTTTAAAAGGAAATACAAAAATATTTTTAATCCAACAAAATAAATAAAGATTGATTCCGTACACGGTCAGGTTCTGTTTCGTTTTCTCCTTCTATTTAGGCATTATTTTTTTTTTGTAATCACCGTTTTAAACAACAATATTATTCTGTATTATACTGTATTACTGTTTCGGTGGCAGCACCAATAAAGGCTTTGGCTTGTTTTAGCTTGTTCGCTATGTTTTGTATTTTATATGTTTGTTATGATGTTTTTTATGATAAATGAAATAAAGGTCAATTCAATCCAAACCTACCTCGAGCCAATAGGTCATTGGACCTGGTTATGAGTGCAACTATGATTGTTTGGCTTATAGGCAGTAGATCCCGTTGGTTGTAAGATTTAATTCTGACTTGTTTTTAATAATAAGCTCGAGCAATAGTCTTATAATATAGATTATAACAAAACACCTTCTTTTACAACATTTGTTTTCTCTACTTTTCCTTCTTCTTCTTCTTTCTACTCCTTTTGTATAAATTTCTCTACTGAATGTCTTAATCTTTATATTAACCTATTTTATATCAGACTATTAATTGTAAATTCAAGATGTATCCGCTTTGAGCTGTGATTTTGAATTTGTATCAATAAAACTTGTAAATTCAATTAAAAAACAATGGAGTGAACCGAAGGGAATCACCTGTAAAATGAGCTATTATAATTCCTGCACTGTTCGCCTCCCCCGTATCCTAGTTACACGATCGAGGATGCGATTTAAATCTACTGGGTGCAATCCGAACAATTCTTTTAGAGCAATTGGACTTTTTACAGGAACCTAACATAACAAAAACATATTCAAGTAGCATTGTAGAGACGATTAAAAAGAAGGTATACTAATACATCTTTGTTAAAGGCATCATTTAACAAGACATGCACGGCACTACGTGTTATTAGTGTCTGTGATATGGTGTAAAATTGATACCCTAAAAATATTGCGCTTCAAAATGATCAAGAAATGGCTTTAACAAATTAAAAATATTTGAGTGACCGGCTTAACCATACTCGGTTTCTCCAATAGACTGTACTGTTATGAAAACGCAAAATTTGGTCTCGATTTCCAATGGTATATATCTTGATAATCAGACAGGCGATCGGCTTGTAAAAGTCATGGGATTCCTGACTAAATATTTATATTTATCATTGCAGCATGAGATAAATCCAGGATTTTGTGTCAGAATCTGAGACAAAGTTACCGGATCCCTTTAAAGGGACTTAGTAACATTGTTCAGATAAGAGATACTGGTGCTAAGGTAGTGAATTCAATGCTAGATGTACAATTAGAGATAATCTGAAAAAAAACCCAGACCATTATTAATGAGAACAAATGAGAAAAACTGATCTGATCATTTCCTTAATTTCTCCTAACTATATTATTACAATTTCATTACATTTTAGGTGAATGTAAACCGTCACAAAAGCTGTGAATTGGCTCTATTGATCTATACCATTCCTGACATGGAATTAAGTGCTGAATGATTTTTAAAAGCCTGTCTCGTGTCTTTTTTTCATGAAAAAACGGTTGGGAAAAAACGGTTGGGAAAATTCAGAAATAGTTGGGAGAACTTACTGTCAGAGGGTGTTGACCAGTGACGCCTTCAAACAAAACCATAACTATCTTTGTGATTTGAGAATTTTGTCAGGATTTTGTGCATGCTAGAAAATTAGTACAGCAGAATGAATTTGATAAGTAACATTTCATACAAAAAAATCATTAAACTTCAAAAAAGTTACCGAGTCACTTTAACTGCGAGAATGTTCACTTTAACCGTGAAAATGTTCACTTCTCTCCCTTTCCGATAACTCATCCGATCAATTGATTTGCTTTTCATAAGCATGTCAGTCAACCCCAATATTTAATATTTATTCAATGAAACAAAACGTAGCGTCTGTAATCTTATCTTTTAAATGCAGCAGCCTGTTTCTATTAACCAAGTAGATAGAAATCGTTTTAAAGCTTTTAATGACAAGCCTATTTTTTTCATCAACAAGTTCCTGAAAGGATCACATGCTTTCCCCAGGAAGCCGGATATAAGATCGAGCACGAGATCTTAACCTATTGGGTGCAAGCCCAAAAAAGAATTATTCAAATAGCATTGGGGAGAAGATGAGCATTTAAGTATAACAATACATCGTCGTTACCCGTGAGAACGGTCACTTCTTTCCTTCTCTGCTAAATCCTGCGAACAGTGGTACCTACTCTAAAACGAATTATCATGAGTGTAAAACTAAAAACTAGTAAATTACTACTCCATGTTATGGCTGTATTCAAGAGTTGCAATGGCGAATAATTGCTGCTTAAATTTAGCCAAAACCAATAGATTGCTTTTGGGACACTAAAGGTAGATGAAAATATGATCGATAAAAATGATATTGTCGGGAAAACTGTCGGGAAAAATATGATAATACAATGAAAAAGACATAAATGTGATCCTGGAAGCCGAGGATAACGAACTCACTTTGACGACAATGGATGCTTAATGATGAAATCAATTTACTTTTGGTCTACCTGCTAAAATCCATCCCTAAACAAAAGAACTCCAAAAGCAAATAAAAAACAAATTTTGAAAAAGCTCTGTAGAGACGATGAACATATAAGTATAATCATACATCTCCACCGTAAAAAAGTTCACTTCTATCCCTCTAAAAAAAAATCATTCGATCAATTGATTTGCTTTTCATAAGCATGTCAGTCAACACACCCAAGATTTAATATTTATTCAATGAAACAAACGTAGCGTCTGTAATCTTATCTTTTAAATGCAGCAGCCTGTTTCTATTTACCAAGTAGATAGAATCGTTTTAAAGCTTTAAATGACAAGCCTATTTTTTTCATCAACAAGTTCCTGAAAGGATCACATGCTTTCCCCAGGAAGCCGGATACAAGATCGAGCACGAGATCTTAATCTATTGGGTGCAAGCCCAAAAAAGAATCATTCAAATAGCATTGGCGAGAAGATGAGCAAATAAGTATAACAATACATCGTCGTTACCCGTGAGAACAGTCACTTCTTTCCTTCTCTGCTAAATCCTGCGAACAGTGGTACCAACTCTTAAACGAATTATCATAAGTCCACAAACTGGTAAATTACTACTTCATGTCATGGCTGTATTCAAGAGTGGCAATGGCAAATAATTGCTGCTTAAATTTAGCCAAAACCAATAGATTGCTTTTGGGACACTAAAGGTAGATGAAACTATGATCGATAAAAATGATATTGTCTTGAAAACTGTCGGGAAAAAATGAAAATACAATGAAAAAGACATAAATGTGATCATGGAAGCCGAGAATAACGAACTCACTTTGACGACATTGGATGTGTAATGATGAAATCGATTGACTTTTGTTCTACCTGCTAAGCTTTACCCCTAAAAAAAATTAAATCCAAAAGCAAATGACTTCTGTGATATAATCATGCCAGTCATTCATCAGTCAGCTAGGTGAACAAACTATATTGGTATGGCCTTTCTCATGAACTGACTACCTGTTTACATAGCATGTTTTTTTTTATACAATGCCCAATCACAAAATTCAATTACATTTAAGCAGTTGCTATGTCAGAAATCCTCAAATAACACCATAAAAAGAAGCGTTTCAATTGGCTAATATATGAAAACATGCAATGTTTTTGTATCATTTGAGGTGTCCACACTTGTAAAAGCATTGCTTTTAAGTGGACCCCTCTGTTTCCAATATGTAATTCTACATTTGTTGTAAATGATTGATTTGTAATGTTTTGTTACAAACATAAATAAATTGAAATTGAAATTGAAGTGAGCTGAGTTAGTCCACTTATGTACTGAATACCAAACGTCAACCCTTTAATCACTCTAAATTGTGTCACATTTCAGAAACCATAGTGGAATAGGAAAATCAATATCATCAAAGAATTAATTCCTCATTTTAGTTTCATGACTCAACGAGTGAGAATGTTAGTTGCATGGATGAATGGTTACCGTTAATCATATTGTAAAAGAACGTTTTATCCTATATCATTTTGTTCTCTCGCATTTTTTCATTACATATGATTAGAGAGTCGTCAATTATTCGACACCAGGCATACGACGCCAATTGCTATACAAATATCTTTCTCTGTTTATTATTCTACATATCAAATTCATTTCTAACGGATCTTTAATAGACATAATTTTGTACTCAAAACAGTGAAATTGTATAATTCGCTTTAAGACCACCTTTTAGTTCATGTTGTTATAAATGATTACAATCTTCAATTCTACTAATAATACTCGAAGGCCAACCATTGATTAACGTGTTTTGAGCCAAAATGCCTATAGTCTACCGCAGGCGCGCCGGAAGCAGTTTGGGATTGGGGGGGGGGGGGGCGGGGGGCAACATTCCAGGGGGCTCACCTTCCAGGGGCAGTGACGTAATGAGAAAAAATTCGGAAGGGGGAGGGGGCAGACGAAAAATCTGCATCACCACCAGTCTTAAACGTTACATGCAGGTCCCACGGAACGTTTTTCAAAGTGAAGTATTATTGATCAGGTACAGCGTAAATTGGCGTGGGGTCCAGGGCATGAGCCTCGGCAGGGGGTTAAGGGGCTGAGCCCCCGGAAGCTCAGGGCTTTAAGGTTTTTAATTACGGTTAGATGAGCATCCAGGGGCCCTCTTTAAGGCCATTGACGTGTTCCAAAGGGGGGGGGGGAAGCCCCACAGAAGCTCAGAGGTTTTAGGTATTTAATTACGGTCAGATGAGCATCCAGGGGCCGTCTTAGGGCCCTTGGTGGGGTCCAGGGGGCAGAGCCCACGGAAGCTCAGGGGTTTTAGGTATTTAATTACGGTCAGATGAGCATCCAGGGGCCCGCCTTAGGGCCCTTGGTGGGATCCAGGGGCAGAGCCCCCGGAAGCTCAGGGGTTTTAGGTATTTAATTACGGTCAGATGAGCATCCAGGAGCCCACCTTAGAGCCCTTGGTGAGGTCCAAGGGGCAGAGCCCTGGAAGCTCGGGGGTTTTAGGTATTTAATTACGGTCAGATGAGCATCCAGGGGCCGTCTTAGGGCCCTTGGTGGGGTCCTGGGGGCAGAGCCCACGGAAGCTCAGGGGTTTTAGGTATTTAATTACGGTCAGATGAGCATCCAGGGGCCCGCCTTAGGGCCCTTGGTGGGATCCAGGGGCAGAGCCCCCGGAAGCTCAGGGGTTTTAGGTATTTAATTACGGTCAGATGAGCATCCAGGAGCCCACCTTAGAGCCCTTGGTGAGGTCCAAGGGGCAGAGCCCTGGAAGCTCGGGGGTTTTAGGTATTTAATTACGGTCAGATGAGCATCCAGGGGCCCGCCTTAGGTCCCTTGGTGGGGTCCGGGGGCGGAGCCCCCGTAAGCTCTTGGGTTTTAAGCACTCAATTACGGTCAGATGAGCATTTTTTATACCTTATTTGTGACATTGGCTTGTTACCTATTTTTATCTCCTACTTTCTTTCTTTATCTCTTTAACATACTTTTTCAAAAAGGAGGGGGGGGGGGGGGGTACTCGAGCCCAGCCACTTTGCAGACCATGACATAAAGGCTTCTAAATAAGCATATTTTCGCCTGACTGTAATTTGGGAATTTCTTATTTTCCAACAAACGCATAAAAAGGTATGAAAAAATGCCGGAAAATCATGTCACAACATAAACATTTGTAAATAACTTCTTTCGAATAAGAAATACACCCCCGATCAGTACGCCAGCGTTCAGGGGCTCATGTCTTCTCACCCCTATAACAAAAAAACGGACACGCTTTCCCATTCTCGCACAATTTGTCCACGATATGTGCGTATCGCATTATAGAGACCTCCATTGATAAATACCGTATAGGTGGCATGCACAATGTTTATGAAATTTAATTCCTGTGAACTTATTCTTTTCTTTGAATGGAATTGTATATGTGATTTAATTCAGGTTTGTATTATTGTTACGTTCTTTTGTATTAAAAATACAAACCATGTTTACTCCTTTAGTGCTTTTTTTTATTTTAGAGGGGGGGGGGCATTTTTTTTAATTTTTTTTTTTTTTTTTTTTTGGGGGGGGGGGCAACTGCCCCCCTGCCCCCCACTTCCGGCGCCTATGGTCTACCGGTATCTTGTCTTTGGACATGAAGGCATGTTTCACCAGAAAATAATTCCACATCAGATTACAAGAGTACCTTCATTACATCACCTGAATCACAGAACATAACATCGAGGGTATGTATAAGTAATTTTCTTTTGGAAATTTGTATCTTGTAGGAATCCGTTGCTGAGATCACGCGTTCCTTCTCAACTCTCGAACTCGTCGCGAATAATCCATCAATGATGGCCAAGATTCACACTTCTGACTCTCTCGAGACCGAGTTTGAGCTGGGAGAACCTGAAAAGACACGACGTCGAAGGGAACTCGACTCGCCATCGGCTCTCCCGACATCGTTCCCATCATCTGGCACCGAGCAGCCAAGCTTGGGTCAGAACCCATCCGGACCATACTCATGGCCTTTGTATTCCGGTATGAACACTAGGTCCATTTTCTTATAATAACATATTCTAAGATTGTAAGTTATTATTGATAACATATCTTAAGAAACATAGACCAGGCGTTTCTTGATTTCTATAATGCCCATTGCACACGAAGGCTCATCTATGAATAAAATTAGGCCTTGAGGCGCCTTTAAAGATAGTCTAGCCTCCGTACCATTTTCGTTTCGTGCGCCCAATCAGCTGATAAAATAACACACCCTCAATGTTGAAAGTAGACCTAGCCATTCCTTTCATTCTGTACTGGACTCGAATATGGGGGATCGCGCAATCAGTGGAGAGAGCGCGCTGTATGTGGGATCGATGCGTGTGATAGAAGAATAAAAACAAAGAACGGACTAATCTGGACTAGTTTAAAGCCAGCATAACACAAGCAGGAAATCGACCTCAACATTTTCCAAAAACAAATCGGAAACCACTGCATTACACAAGGCAGTCCTAGTAAATTGTACGTAACGAAATTAAACACATCATTGAAGCTCACATATGCGTTAAGTAGAATAAAAGATAAAACTAAGAGAGCCATGAATGTTAAAATTAACTTCCTAAGCCACAGGTCGTGTTGGTTGGCCATGTAATTCCCTTCAAGTCCGAAAATAGGAGATATCAATATTCAAAACTAAATGGAACGTATGACGTAGGCCATTATCATCCAGGTTGAGAATAAACCTCGAACGGGGCTATTATGCTTAAAATATTATGTTATGGAGGCAGAAGTGTTTAAGCCTCGCAGATCATTAAACTTGATATGAAATATATTTGCTGTTTCTTCTTTAGGTCAATGTTTTATGTGTCCTGTTGGTGTTCCTGGTGTAAGCGGTCCTCCAGGCCCGCAGGGGGTTGCCGGAAGAGACGGCAGAGACGGACGGGATGCACCGACAAGTCCTCAAGGTAGGCCTTTAAAGACATCACTCTGACACGATATGGCACGACATGCAGATGTTTCAGGACATTGATATCAAATTGTGACATTGCAATTATTCAAGCCGGAAAATGCATGGCCTGTGGAATAAAAATTCAAGTTATTGAAAAACAATTTGGATATTGTAACTCATGTGCGGTCTATGACAATTTACACAACAAAGATATACTATAGGTGTAAATTTTAAAAATACGATATGGAGACGTATAGTTGGAGGTTTCTTTAGAGTGTTTTGTTCACATTCTTATGTTATAACAGCAATCAGTCATTGATAATGGCGAGAACATAATCCTGGCAAATTACACAAAAATTATGTTATATAATATATTTATTATTATTCATTATCAAATCGATTCTGTTTATGGATTCTGATACATGATATTTTAAATATTTTAAATTTTACTGAGGAGACACCCTCTTCACGTAACGACCAAACAAACACAACTGAATCCCGTTTGTATAAACTCGATTGAATTTGCCACTAATAATGTCATTTATATATACCACGAATGTAGATGCCAAACTTCTGGAATACAGTTAGATTTATCTAAAGGATTCTGATAAAACTTCTGGATGTTTCAATTTTACCTCAAGAAATACCCATCGACGAAACTCACCCAACTGAATCCGGCGGCGATGCGGTAGTGCGTCCAGTAGGTAACATGACAAATCTTCCTGGTGTCATCTACATTCGCTGGGGTAACGACGTATGTCCTGAAGATGCAGAACTCATCTATTCCGGTAGGTACAGATGGGTAATATTCCATGTGGAAATGTTTTGACAATATCGCAAGAACTTTCTGAAAATTAATAACAGGCAATTTCAATAGCCTTGTCCGTCTGTCATATTAAAATGTGCGAAAACTTCAACGGATTTCAAACATGATGGGACACACAATTTTTTCAAAAAAGTCTTTGCAAACTTGTTTCAATATTACTGTAACCTTTAATCAATCTGATGTTGTGCGACAAAAAAGTCTTCATCGCCACAAACAAATCACATGCATTCGATAGCCCCACTGAAAGGGGTTAGGTTTTAAGTGAATGCAAACAAAGTATGTCAAATTTATTTGAGTTATTGTAATATCGACTCTTATTTATACGGTATATGCAAGATTTAAAAAAAATTAAACTGAATGTCATGCTATAACAAAATGACCACTAGCGTTCAATATTGTTAACGTAGCAATAATAACCATAATTATATGGCGCAATTATCAATCCTATGGGATGCTGAAGGTGCCTACAAGTTCTATAATTATCCTGGCTTTAGTCCAGCTGCCCTAAGAAAGCACTTAACTCATAGCACGCTATTGTTATAGTGCTTTGTACACGCGAGCAAGCTACTGTTACTTTGCTTCTTGCATGATTGCACGCATTCGTAATAGCAGTTATTGTTCATGCCCATTGGACTGTACCTAGTGTTTTGCACGCGCTATTGGCAGTACCATCGCGTTAATCCGATTATCTCGTTATAAATTTGGCACTGGGGGTATTTGTGGCTTGGCACAATGGGGATTAGCCCTGTGGCAGGATAAGAGTTAAAGCATGTCATGAATGAAAAATTTAGACATATGTCTTTAATACCGACTCACATTAAGTGCGGACCTCGAACCGCGAACCATGTGATCCACAAGCCGGTGACGTACCACTAGACCACGACGCCCCTGTTCAATTTGTTTGGAAAATGAGCTATGTAATCCCATTACCAACCATTAGGATTAGCCCAAGTGCAACATTCAGATGCTCTCATGTGCTGTAGAGAGGTGTCGTAGATTATGTCATCAGGCTGTTGATCACACGATTAGCTGTTTGAGTCCCAGCCCCGTACTGATGTCCTTTGCCAAGATATTAATCCACATTTGCCACCCTCCACCCAGGTTTGAATTTGTACCTGTTTTGAAATGAGTCATTGGACGTTCTTCGGAATTGCCTAATGAAAGTGGTTGTCATAGGTCCTACATCATGCTTAATTTTGTGTCTGATGGATTTGAACTTTATAGTGGGTTTACCTATATTTGTGTTACATTACTTTGTGATTTACTCAGGTTCTATTGGAGGTGCTTACTACGCTCACACTGGTAGCGGCTCAAATTATCTCTGTATGCCGGACGAGCCTATCTATGACGAAGTAGAAACCTCCCCACATGCTGACCGAGCCCTAATATACTCCTCTGAATACGAGGTCAATACTGCTCCTTCACGCATGCAACCAATGCATGACCATACTCCGACCTGTGCAGTCTGCAGGGCGCCCTCTGGTCACACCAGCAAACTTATGATTCCTGCCCGCAACGTTTGTCCTTCTCAAGAGTGGCGTTTAGAGTACGCTGGTTATATTATGGCAGCGAAATACACGCACCAAAAAACGGAATTTGTGTGTGTGGACCGAGAGATGGTTCCTAAAGCGGGGACCAGGGATAGTCAGAATGGTGCGCTGTTGTACATGACAGAAGTCAGGTGTCTGGTGGGTGGGGGCTTGGATTGTGGACCGTACATGAATGGTTACGAAATTACTTGCGCTGTCTGTACTATCTGAAGTCCTATTAATAATTTCACTTCGTATAGTTTGACACAGTTTGTATATCTTGTCATGATCTTTGAAAATCTTAGAACAATTTTTTGTCTATACATTGATCAAATGTACACTTTAGTTGCATACATATTCCAGTGAGTACGAGTTAACCTTAGTTTTATACACACAACAGTGATCAACTGTATGATAAAATAAGGCCTAGTTTGTCGATGGTTTTCTTAATCTTGTTAATAAATAGTGAATTTCATGATAAATTTTCTTTTCCTTCAGGAAATAATTAATAATTCTTTGGCTACTTTGAATTTTCTGACTAAAGCTTATATTCATTCTTACAGAAGTGTAATACGAAACCAAATGATCGTTTAATGTATATGTTAACATAAAAATTTACTTTAATTGTACTACATTAAACGGGCATTGACTATATACTTGTAAACGTTTTGTGGTTTGTTTAATGTTGTTGAATATGCTAAAAACGATTGTGAGAAAACAGGTTTGACTGGAAATTGCTGTAAATCAATTTTATCTGCTTAAAAATATTACAAAGGATCGTTGGAGCATTTTATAGTAAACATGGATTTCATCCTTTAAAAAAATAGGCACACAATAAAAAGAGGAAGAAAAAGAAAATATGGTTAAAAACTGTTTTGGTCTGGGGGGGGGGGGGCAATTTTCGTAATGTAACCAAATTTAATGCATACGTCTTTGTGATGCGCCTCGATACCAAATACTTCTTTCACCTGATAAGGATAATAGTATTTCAATAGACAGAATCCAAACTGCATACATTAGTTGTTGCCAGTTCGACAAACATAAGGAATATTTCGCAAGCTCACTGCGGACAGAGAATCTGCGGTTCGTGTGCAAAATCGAGAAGCTACTATAGTAACAGCAAGGTAATCGCTGAGGTACTGAAATCCAGAACGGGTTTTGGCCAAATCTACAGTCGTTCTCAATGACGCCTCAAGTGAATAAATAGCCAATCAGCAAGCTTGTACCAAAGATGGTGATGAGAATTTCGTCGTCTAATAACGAAGGATAACGAATTTTAACGGGCGGATCTGGCGTGGGCGGGGGGGGGGGGTTACATTTGAAAAATCGCGCCGACCAATAGTTCGCTTAGTTGGGGGGGGGGGGGGGCGGGGGGGGGGGGGTAGGGAGCACTTAAATTTGTTTTTCAATTTGAAAAAGGTGCCAACCAATATTTCGGGGGGGGGGGGTAGAAAGCACCTTGGCCAGCCAAAGGGGGGAATTAAACCTCACAACCCCCCTAGATCCGCCCCTGACACGAATGACTCTTCGGTGAGTTCTTTCCTTTCGATTATTGTTTCTGAACAATAACAACATGAATATGGATATAACATGAATTGTTTTAAAACTTGATGATTGTTGAAATTTGATAAAAAGCCCTTTTGTGGCTTGGTCGAGACAAGTTGTGCTAGTCGTGTAGTTCCGTCTGTACTGTATTGCGTGGAAGGGAACAGGCCATTTTCGTAATGTAATCAAATTTTATACATACGTCTTTGTGAAGTTCCTCAATACAAATTATTTCATTCACCTGTCTAGGATTCGCAATAGTCAGAATGCAAACTGCAGAGATTAAGTGTGGCAACAACTAATGTATGCAGATTGGATTCTGTCTATTTAAATACTATTATTATTATCAGGTGAATGAAATAGTTTGTATCGAGGCGCTTGATTCACTTGGGGCGTCTTTGAGAACGCCCGTAGATTAGGCAAAAACCCGTTCTAGATTTCAGGGCCTCAGCGGTCATTTAACTATTACTTTAGTAACTTCTCGATTTTGCACACGAACCGCAGATTCTAATTCCGCAATGAGTTTGCGAAAATTGCCAAATGTCCTTATTTTTGTTGTCAATGTGGCAGATGTCTGGTTTGTGTCGGGTACGTATTATGTTTGGTGGTATGGTGCCCCTAGTGATGCTTTCTCCTTCTATTGTCTGCATATACTTTGGTAGAATTGTTTGAAGTGTTTTTAATGTGTTTGAGCATGATGCGTAGTATGTTGTTGTGGCGCCAGGTATATCGGTCAAGCATTCTTTCACAATTTATTAAGAACATGATGCAGAGTGCCAGTACAATTACAAAGGTTACATTTATCAGAGATTCCTTTTCCCCACCGGTACTGGTTTTTGTTAGTAGGAGGACTATCTATTGCTGCATTAACAGTGAACTTCATTACACTCTGAGGTAAGTTATAAATAATCGACTTCCAGGTTACATCAGTATTTTCCATAAGAACAACTTTCATTTATTCTCCCTGTACAAGTAAAGGTTCGATCACTCTTTTCCAATATTCTCTACATATATCTTGAACTGATATTTTAATCACAGTTTTTGTCTGATTCCAGCTTACAGAGTCTGGTATTTTTGAGTGAATTTCATGTGCTTCCAAAGAGAACGACATTTGTCGTGACTATCCCCTTTCACTCTTTAGTCTTCGGTCAAGGGTGTGATTTACAACATCGTCGCCTCTGACCTTAGATCTACTGTAAGTAAGTAAGTGAACGCTACGCGGAAACCCCCGCTAAGAATAGCGTTGTAGAAGGCCGCGTCGCCGGTTGCGAAAACTCCCTAATGCAAATTAGATCGCGACGGCAGCCAGTACGGAAACGGTAACAGCTCATTTAAATACCCCGTAGTCAGCACTTGCGTCGACGTGCGAAAACTTCCTAATGACTTTTAAGTACACGATGCGCAGCAGTGCATATGAACGCGTGAAGTAAGCCTACTAAACTTTTGTCAACGATAATGAAACGAAATAAGGTTTAAATCATATTTGTTTACATTAAATCACGAGGATCTAGGATATCTAGGAGTTCTAGGAGTTTCATTGAACAAATGAGTTTATTATAAGAACTATGTCCCATTTGCAATTCAAAAATATTGAAAGGCTTAAATTCCAACGGCATTTCAAAGACAATACTTATTTAGAATTTCCCTACAGAATAAAGGGTTTGAAAATGGCTTTATGTGTGAAAATAATGACCATTAGTTGGCGAATCGACATAAGTGATTGCAATCACTTGAGTAATAGTCTGATTTCCAGACCCTTTTACCGAATGGTCGAACGTTTTGTGCTGCACAAAGATTCAATCAGTTTATTTTTGGCCATTACAAGTATTGGGTTATCGATGCATGTAGACAAATGCTCATAAATCTGTTACAGCTCATCTTATGTATGTTATTACCAAAGAAAAAAAATATATCAGTCAGTCTCAATAGTGGCTGACAGTGTCAGAAGTCTTGAAGGTAAACAGATTTCCTTGGATAATTTGAAAACTGGAACACTGTTAATGTTAACATTTCACATATAGGACACAGAGGCGGCCCTCCCGGGGGGCAGGGGGGCACAGTACCCCCCACTTTTTCAGATACCCCCAAAGTGCCCCTTTTTACATAGGAAAAGTGCCCCTTTATTTTGTAAGAAGTGCCCCTTTTACATAGGAAAGGTGCCCCTTTTCCTTTGACAAGTGCCCCTATTACTTAGTAAAAGTGCCCCTTTCCCCTTTTCACCTCTGACGAGTGCCCTTTTTATTTTTGACACGTGCCTCTTTTCCTTCGACATGTTCCCATTTCCCTTTGCAATAAGTGTCCATTTTCCATTCTCATAAATCTTGAAATTATCTTGAATAAGTACCCTTTTTAATCTCTAGTAAGTGCCTCTTTTCAGGTACGAGAAGTGCCCCTTTTCACTTTTAATAAGTACCCTCTTCACCTCTGATAATTGCCCTTTTCAAAACTGAGAGGTGCTCCTTTTACTTTGACAACTTCCCTTTTTTTCCTTTGTAAGAAGTGCCCCTTCTCCTTTTAACAACTACCCCTTTTTTAAACTCGGATGAGCGCACCTTTCATTTTAACATGTGCCCCTCTTATTTTCTAATAAGTGCCCCTTTTCCTTATGATAAGTACCCCCATTAAAAAGAGAGAGCTCCTTCCCCTTCTCATAACTTCCCATTTCCCTTTCTCATAAGTGCCCCTTTTCCTTATGATAAGTGCCCCCATTAAAAAGAAAGAGCTCCTTCCCCGTCTCATAACTGCTCCTTTTAAACATCTGAACGGTGCCCCCTTTTCATTTAACAAATGCACATTTTCCTTTATTATAAGTGCCCCTTTTACATTTTCATAAGTGCCCCTTTTCATATCTGGTCAGTGCCCCTTTGCAACTCTGATAATTCCCCTTTTAATAATACATGCCCCTTTTTCTTTCTAATAAGGGACCTATCCCCTTTTCACCTCTTATAAATGCCCCTATCAAAATCTGATGGTTGCCCCTTTTCCGTCAACAAATGCCTATTTCCCATTTTCGTAAACGCCTCCTTTTCATCACTGGTGAGTCCCTCTTTTCAGGTGAAAAAATGCCTCATTTTCACCTCTTATAATTATCCTTTGTACTTATACACGTGCTCCTTTTCTTTTCTAATAAGTGTCTTATCCCTTTCGATAATTGTCCCCTTTTCATGTAATCATTAAACGTGCCCCTTATTTAAAGCGACTAAGAGCAATTCCCCCCAAAGTTCGCTCGCTGCGCTCGCTCGCATTTAAAGATGATACTTATCAAAGGTCTTTTCAGTCTTCCGTTATGAGAATGTGCTTATAACCCCATCACGATTGGCTTTTTCCTCTTTATAAGATGTAATTTTTCGCACTGCGACCTCACAGATCTTTAAAATTTGTCTCGTTCACTTCGCTCGCTCGTAAATGCATATTCAGACATCACACCCAACTGTAAAGTTTGATGCTTAAGCGATATCTTGTATGATGTATGAAGAGAAACAAATATTGAAATCATCCATGATAATGTAATCACAATGTAGGGGTATATACCAATGTCTAAAAATTGTATATTTTCGCTTTGAGATTTCCCATTGTAGGTGCCCTTTTTTCCAGAAAGTGCCCTTTTTTGTTGGTGCCCCCCCACTTTGAAAGTCGCTCGGCCGCCCCTGATAGGACATACATGACATATTCATAATTCCTGCAAAGTAATACAGAATTTGATTTTGGCTGCATAAGGGAAATAGTATTTTTGATAACTAAAAATGCATTGAAGGTAGACATATGGTTTATATTATTTAAGTGGTCCTGTTTGGACAGCCGGAGTCAAACAAAACAGAAATAAAAACAATTATCATAAGTCACTTTGAGCTATCATCACAAGCATGTTTAAGGATCGCATGTGAAAGGGTGACTCTATACATGCACTTCTACATAATAAAAACCTTGCCCCTTTCACATTATAATCTGGATGTCAAGCTAGCCTATTCTGCGCAATAGCTCAGCTCAGCTTAATACATATTGATGTAAACGGTTCTAGAGAATTTGAAATACACAAAAAAAAAAAAAAATCGGCAAAATACAAAAACACTCTGCTTAAAGTGGCATGTTCCCCGTATTCCAGAGGGCGTTC